GAATACAAGAGAAAACCAACAACAAAACTACTCACAAATCTTAATCCACGAGAAACATTTCTCACGGTTTGGAATCAGAGCACCTAAATCATTGTAAACGATAATTGGAGACATTATATTAATGTACTTTTAAGAAAAAAGAATCTTTTATGGGTGCAAAATCGAAGCACATTAAAATGTTGAGAAAATTATATATTAAAAGGAGATTTATTTAGAGAATTAATCATTTATACATTGATACCGTAAATATTTGTAAAATAAATTGCTCTTGTCGGGAATGAAATTTCAGTAGAGTGCCCAGTGTCCCTGACAGCGCTGGAAAACACCAGGAAGCTACTTATTTCAGAAATGCCCCTGGCGAGACATCAATACGTGGCGCAATATTGTTAATCGATACGTTAGTTGATAGCAAGGAAAAATTGAAATCAAAGACTTGTTCGATGATTCACTAATCAAACAGATAGAGAAAAAGTATAAAAAATATCAGTATGTATAAGTTTAAACAAAAATTTAAAATTCAAAAATTAAGAGAAGCAAGCACATACAAAAATGTGTAACAACGTTTTACTTTTTCAACCTCTTAGAAGAATCCATTGCTAGAAACAAGGCAAATGCGTTTGCCACGAGCGAGAGAAATTTGTTTCACAATTAACTTCAATCAAATTTCAATCTTCTACAAACCAGTTTAATACACCACAAATCGCACAGGAAATGATATAGCTCTCTCTTACGCATGCCGAACTACAAAGAGTTGTAACTAGTATCTCCATTCTAGAGCTTTAATAGATTTTAAAGCCATAAGAGATACAGCCGTGAATCAATAAACACAAGGGAAGACCAACACAATAACAACTCAGAAATCCCAATTCTGGAGAAATATTTCATCGGTTTAAAATCAGAGCACTTACACAATTGAGAGCGACAATTGGCGACATTATTTTAATGTACCCTTAAGAAAAGGAACGCCATCAATTGAGACTCAATCGAAACTTATGAAAATGTTGATAAAATGATATACAAAAGGGAGATTTCTTTAGGGAATTAATAATTTATAGATTTATAGCGTAAAGATTAATTTTTAATTATTCTGGTCAGGAACAAAATTTCAGTACTGCGCCCAGTGTCCCTGTCAGCGGTGGAAATGGCCAGGAAGCTAAGCTATTTCAGAAAATGCCCCTGGCGTGACATGCGATATATGGCGCAGTATTGCCAATCGATACGTTAGTTCTTAGAAGGCAAAAATTATCCTGCTGAGTCCTTAATAAAGAAGGACTACTCTTACTTAATTAAGTGGAGTATCAGTCCATCCACGGTGCGCTTAACGCTCCTTAAGAATCAACGAGATTCATCAAATTTAAAAAAATCCCCAACTGCTGATAGCTGGTCAGATTCATTCTGTGACTGCGTACTACTCTCTCTAGTAGAGGGAACATTATGGTTTGTTTACAGAGCCTTCACTCCCTCGTTGCACCAAAAAAAAGGGCCCGTTTAAGGGAAATATCAATTGACTTGTTTCAGAGGCATTACTGTTGTATCAGCAGTGCTTATAATCAGGAGACTGTAGGATTCTAGACCGCACTGTGGCAAGTTTTCTACAATAGCTGCATAGATCTTCTCACTGACACATAGCACTCAGATGCGATGTTACATTCAAGATGTGCTGTGCGGAAACCAACTTAAAGAATAATATTTCGTACGAAAAGATTAGAGGAACATGCGGTATATGTACAAGTCTTCAAATCATATTTTGAAAAGTATTTGTACTGTATGCTTTGAGTATAACAGTTTAGATATAATTACAAGAGCAGTAAATAATGTAAATAAAGATTTAAAATTTTGCGAGAAAAGAAGACGAAGATTGTATTTGTTCGTTTCTGGCCGTTTAGGTTTTACATTAAGATATCGAGGTGTCATTTAACTTAATTCCATTATTTCATTCGTAGTTTCGTGTGTGTTCGTTAGTACACCCATGAATAAGAATTTCCATACATTATTAAACCTCCACCCCGTTTAGCACACCTTTTCTCAAGAAAACGTTGAAGTGGCCATCAAGGAAATATATTCACGAATTATCTCCCCACGATCATAAAAAAATGTATTTAATAATAATAAATGTTTTAATGTATTACATCAAAATAAATCATTTCCTCTTCCTCACTTCCATCATATACATATAGTCATACATATTTACAATTCGTTATGATATTTGACAATGAAAAAGATGAGAAAATAATAACAACAAGCTCCTCTTCACAGTATTTAAGATCTCCGATTGTGTTATACTTCTTAACCCTTTAACTGCTGCGAGCCGACTGTACGTGAAGCGTCTTGCGCCGTGCCTCTCGCTGCATGTTGTGAGCAAAGCTCGCTCGCATGTAGATATCGCGCAAGAGATCTCGGCTATCAGTAAGTCCTAGCGGTAGCCGAAAGTGCGTCTGCGCGAGCGAACCCGTCCAGAGGCTCCCAGGCTATCGCGGTTCCGCGTACGATCTCGAGCAGAGCCTCTCAGAGACGAACTGACAGGGCGCAATAACTCGCCCAGAGGCTTCCACGCACGGAAAGAGTTTGCGTATTAACTTGCCTAGAGCAGTCAAAGGGTTAAAAGTAAATAAAATGTTAATTCAGTCATAAAACGTATTGAAGAGTTTCACTTAAGAATCAAATAATTCAAGTAGAACTATTTCAATCGTTTCTGCCTATTTTAAAAGTTATTGTCACTATCTCGATTAAGTTTTCACAGTAGCTGTTCTTGATAAATCCAACAAACGTAGAAACAGTCCCTTGCTTTGTTTCTGATATAGTTCCCCTCTCATTGCAGTTTTTACCTCATATTACCGAAATAACTAAATGAATCCGTCTGAAAAAATTGTCTGTCCTACATATCACAAGCTATAAAAATAGTCACTGACCTTGAAAGTGATTTTTCCCAAAATAATAAAATAATTATGAAGGTACTTATAGACTCACAGGACAGAAGAGTGAGAACTAAAAACTTGTTCTGATGTACTTTCGACGTGATTATGGTGCGTGGAATTTGGCAATAACTGATACACATATGCTCTTCGTTAAGTTTCCAGAACATATGATGACAGTGGAGAACACACGTATTGTCTCGTTGAACATTCCAGAAAATAAAAAAGCTGCAATATGAAGAAATGTTAAAGTTAGTTGCTGAAATTACATTCTTTCATACAGATAAATTACTTTAACGATATTTTTATTACTAATTCAATGTAAATTACAACATTTTAATTTTGTTAAATACTTACAGATGATAACTGAAATATTAAGTATTTTTACAACATTCGAGAAATGCCCATTTTCAGTTGAACATCCACGCTACGGGACGTACTGCAATCTAAGAAATAACAATTAAAACCATTCTGGCAACTTTTCGGTTCTTTGTTAATGTCTTCACTGTCAATATTACTTACGGGTCAATATTGTATGGGATGATAATGTCAAAAATTAGTGTTCTCCATACACAAATAAAACTTTTTAATTTAGCTTCGTTGAATTGTTCAGTCGGTGAATAGCTTTCACAATTTTCGGTTTCCTTTTTGCTGCATTTTGACAATTATTTTCATGATTTCTACAGAAAAGTAGAACTAGTAGATAGTAATAAAAACTACTGCTTGGCATCTCATCGAATAATTGATGAGCTGGAACCTACGGAATGACACATCTCAGAGCATGTAAACTACTTTGTTTGCGTTAGTGATGACTTCAAACAGAATTTGTCTTTATTACAAGCGATACTTACAAGAAATACCTTTATTACAATTCTTGTTTTATTGACACTCCTCCAGGCAGTGAAAAATTAAACGGAACAGAATTAGAGTACCATTTTGGGTATATTTCCGTCCACTTCATTATTAGAAATTCATAAAAGCTTGCAGAAATGATATATTGAAGCGGATGAGCTGCAATTTAAGAAGAAACTGTTCATGGAGCATGCCCGAATACGTTTTCCCAATTGTACTACAGTGTAAAGTCTTTATAACAAAACTTAAGAGTTGTGTAGTTTCTTCTGTTTAAGTAAATTTTGTTAAGTAAGGATAGTATATCAATATGTGGCTTATGAAATAAACCAATCAAATTCAACCCAAGTCTACATTATATAAAGTTCATAAAGTTTGTTAGAGAGAGTTTACACTGTGTCATTTTTAAAACGAAGTTCACATTTATACCTGATGTGAAATGGTATTTGCCGCACGTAGATAAAAATAATGACGTAATTGGCGTACCCTTTCTCTTCTCAATGGTTTTAAGAACTGTTGCGCCCCAGAACTGAGATAAGATCGTCTCTGAGCTAAACATTCTACTTAGTGGATGAGCTACAACATAAAAAAAGTTACGATTATTCATCTCATTTTTCACGTATTGCATGTTTTGAGTCATGAATATGTGTGAAACTTACCCGATTGTATCTGAAGTATGGCAAAAGCTGTAGCCATGTTTTCTTGAGACAATGGAGGAGGACGGACGACTGTTCTACTTCTCAAATAGCCAATAATGGATATGTCGTTTCATTTCATTGCTGAAGAACTTGAATCTCTCGTATTCCAAACATTAGTACCTTTTGAATATTCTATTACATTTCAGGGGTTTTTCTTTCCCCTCTATTTCTCTCTTGATAAATCACCGTCGCTCCATTGTTTTATACCCAACCTAATTCCAGAAATTCTTGAAGTAGGGTCTTCTATAGCCCTAAGATGGCTCAGGTCCAGCGTAATAACATCCGCGAGTGTCCAGGTTCGATTCCCCGCATGGAGAAGAAAATGTGAAGTTTCCACAATGCAGAAGTGTGTTCCAATTTCTGTGGCTGGAGTAATAGAGACACTGCTCGGGTTCCGGGTAGTGTTGAGCCACGTCGTTCGGGCTGTGAAAGTTGTAACTCGAAGTGCCGGTTGGATTTTCGGTGAATTCTCACTGGGTGTGCACGGAAATGACAAACCACATTTTATCGAATTGACTAAAATCTTCACTGTTTCCTTTCCCTATTGGCTTTTAGAAGATCCAACCAAGCCGGGAAGAAAATTGACTAAAAACCGCTTTTCTGCAACATTTCATTTCAACTTTTCAAAAAAATCATGTAGGTGGATATTTTCTCTCTCGCCTCTCTCCCTCCACTCTCTCTCTTTTTATCTCTCTCTCTCTCTCTCTCTCTCTCTCTCTCTCTCTCTGTCCACTTTCTCATGGCGATAGGGACATATTTTTATGGTCCATTCTCTCCCAATACGTTTTCTCAATCGTTTAAAACTCATTTTATTCTTGAAGATGAAAATTACATCCCTCTGCATGAAGTGGCAAGGGAGGGGGAGCACTTACATAAGTCATTAACTCCAGTGGATAATGACCAGAGTGCTTGTTTTTCAAGCGCAAGAATACGGCTTTGATACCGGGTAGGGGGCAAAAGCAATTTCAGTCAAAATGTATCTGTTGTAGTCTTCCGAAAATAGGCATTATTAAACAGAAAACATTATAAGTGTTTTCATTTAAATAATGTGTTGCCTTGTAACAGTATACTTTATTACATTCATCTTAAATTCCATTTGTTCTTTTCGTTCAGAAGCATAATCCACACAAAATGTTTCAGAGTCTAGATCTTTCTATATCATCCGTTAACTTTGTTACAACGTACAGTTGATTTCCAAGAATCATTTGAACAGGCCCGATGATAGGTCATGTTTATCGCGTATATGTTCCTTTATTAAAACTGTATTACTCTTGAAACTCGTGACCAGTATTTCATTTTATTTTGGTTAATAAATTGTAAGAACATTTCACAATTAGGCTGTATTACATAAAATAACATACAGACATACACAGCAAAATGCCGTTGTTACTAATTACGATTCCCATTATCACAGTTTCAATCTTTGCAGCTGGCGGCGAAGAAAATCTGCTAAGTTTATGGGCTGCCCTGAATAATGGAATTGTGCTGTCAAACATGTTCATAGAGTCACTTGGTGCTTTGAACTTCATGGCTGGGGAGAAAAGCAATGGCAGGTTACCATCTATTTCTCCAAAATTGTTTATATGACTTCACTGAGGCCTTTCAGACTTTTGGGCTGGTATTGACCTGCTTCGAAATTGTCTGTACAAAACACTTCAATAGAGTCATATCAAATACTTCTTTCACGGGCT